ACTCATGTGGAATCATCCTCAGGTAGTGTGGATTCAAGTTTGTTCAAATCATGACCCCCGTGGCTAGGGTGGGGCCAAAATGGCCGACCCAAGTTTTACACAGGAATATATAAGAAAAATCTTTAAAAATCTTCTTCTCCAGAACCACTGGGCCAGGAAAGATGAAACTCATGTGGAATCATCCTCAGGTAGTGTATATTCAAGTTTGTTCAAATCATGACCCCTGGGGCAAGGGTGGGGCCAAAATGGCTGACCCAAGTTTTACATAGGAATATGTAGGAAAAATCTTTAAAAATCTTCTTCTCAAGAACCACTGGGCCAGGAGAGATGAAACTCATGTGGAATCATCCTCAGGTAGTGTAGATTCAAGTTTGTTCAAATCATGACCCCCCGGGGCTAGGGTGGGGCCAAAATGGCCGACCCAAGTTTTACATAGGGATATATAGGGAAACCTTTTAAAATCTTCTTTTCAAGTACTTCAAAGCTATGATTTGTGATATATTTATATGGAATCATCCTCAGGTAGTGTAGATTCTAGTTTGTTGAATGCCTGGAGGGGGGTGGTGGAGTAAATTCAAGCCTGATGTGCTCAGGTGAGCGCTGTGGCCCCTGGGCCTCTTGTTTTTAAAGTGTTTAAAAATTGCACATCAGTTGTATCTTATAGAAGTCCGTCAGCTTGACACAATTAATTTAATTGAAGGTGCATTTAAAGTGAAGACAACTTGAAGTCAACTGTTTGTATTCCTAAAATTGTCAGATTTAACAATTTTTTAAAGCAAAGTCTAAACTCTTTGTTAAAGTTTAATTACATTGAAACATTTTATTTTTCCAAATTCTTAAAAAATTTGTGATGATCAGTCTTTAAAAAAGCTACAAAAAGTACAAAAAATGCTGGAAAATGCACCATTTAGAACCATTTAAAACAAAATTTTCGAACCCCCACCTATGGGAAGGGGACATGTACCCCCTCCCATGCCCTCCCCCTTTGGCCCTTTTGGCCTCAACCCCCCCCCCCCCCACATGAACTTCTGGATCCACCACTGGATATGTCGAAGTGATGTGGAAGTCCCAACCACATTTCTTTAAGTATTTAACCTTCGATATCTCTAATCCTCGGATATCTCGAAGTTTTTTTCTCAGTCCCCATTAGGTTCGAGATAACGAAGTTTGACTGTATAGTATTAGATTGTAATTTCATTTGAATTTGGAAATAAATTTCAAAGGAAACTAAAAATAGGTAGTTAGTGCACCACATTTTTTCCCCACCTTTTAAGGACATTGGTAAATAGGGTTATCCAAAGAAAAAGGTTTAAAGCAAGAAAGAAAATCGGTGGTGGCTTTATTGGACATTGTATTCAAGAGACAGTCAGTCAAGAGATCATTATTTACTGTAGCAATGCTGGGAAGGGCAAAGATATAATTACTGAGAACTGTTCTTCTAGGTCGTGTGAAGAAGGCGCTATTTAGTAAATACAGACAGAAATTGAAAACAAATCCATGCCAATATAATTTTTATATAGCAATTGTAATACTATTCAAGTAAATTGCATTATAGGAACAGTGAGCAAGTCTCTTTTACCTTAATGAATAGATTCTAAGGGAAGTAACTCAAAAATAAAGATGAGTCTGGTAGTATATCTGTGTTTTGTTTCTATATTTGCATTTTCAACCAAAATAACTAGATGTCATAGGAAATGAGGATACAATAATGTATATACATGTAATAAATAAACTTTATGAAATAGTTGGTTTTTGAGAAATCTTAATGGTGAAATATTTAAGTCCTTTTTTTATCAACATGCATTGGTAATTGTAAAAAAACATTGATGTGACAAAATCTCAAAAGGAAGGGTGGTTTGGTGGAATGAATGTACCAGAATATAGCATTTTTAGCATCATTACACCTACTCAAGAGTTATTTAAAAATTCTATACAAAAGTCAGGGACCTTGTCAATTTCCAGAAGAACAAGCATTCTGAGAGTATTGCATAAGCAATACATGTCCCCTCCCAGGTTCCCCTTTTTCTTTAGGATGTCATTTTATAACATGCAAAAGTTAAAACCAAGGTAAAACTGCTTGATGTTAAAATTTTTGGTTGTGCATGTCGTTAACCTAAAAAAATAATCCATATAAAGACAAAAATTCAACTCATTTTTTCAATGTCTTTTTCTCGCTTCATATTTACCTTCGGAATTTAGCGCAGCACGAGCCCTGTCTTCAAACATTTTGAAAAAGTAAAATGCCATAATTCTTTCAAAAATCAATGAATTGAAACGACATTCAAACTTGATCTGTAACTCATCAAGATATACTCACATTCCAAAATTCAGCTCAGTATCTGTAAGCGTTTAGAAAACCAAATAGGCAGACTGACAGACAGACATGGGGACAGACAAACGGATGCACGGACAGATGCAGAGGAAACCGATAGTCCTCGCTGGTTTCACCAGTAGGGGACTAATAACATATTCAGCAATATACTTCGCAAAATTTGCAACACACACAAAATTCTGATATATGGTATAATGATAAAGTTTTCATCAATGAAAACTAATATTTTAAACTGATGTGTAGAAATTCATTAGTTGAGCTTCAAAAACATCAATTTTGTGACAATGTATGCACAAACACGTCCCATTAGAATATATACTATGGTACCAGAAATGGTGATGTGGAGTGATTACAGTGCTCTTGTGAAGATATATTTTTCCAGCACATTCTTAAGAAAAAAATTAAGATATGGCCATAATAAAAAAATTCTTAGATTCTCATCCAAATTTTGGGAAAAATTGAGGTGAGCGGCTTTTATTTTATATATATTTTTCATATTGCAGATTATTTATTGACTTGGACCAGTTGGTCAATGGGTGCAGGGTTATCTATGATACTGTAATAAAAGTCATATTAGAGGTCCATTTATCTCTTGCTTCACATCATCACCAATCTTTCACAACCAATGACCCTTGTTTAATATATATTACTGCAATTACCATCTTTTCAGCTGTCAAAATCATGCCGACATTTGCGGGATTTAAAAGGAAAGTTGAGTGGTAATTGAATACCGATCCCGATCAGAATTAAGATGACGAAAAACAGAAATTAAAAGAAATCAAGGCGGGGTAAAAAAAAATCGAGCTGGGTGGGGATGAGAATCTAGGAATATTTTTATTATGGCCTATTCATTTAAAATCCTTTTAAACTTGCTTGTAAAAATATCGCTAATTGTTTTATATTGAATGAAGGATATTATAATAATATATTATAATATCATTAAAATGATGTGTGGCATGGTTACTTGTATTCTGTTCAAAAAAAAAGTTTTTTTTGTAAAGTCATGTGATTATAAGGTTTCTTAAGGACATACGGAAGGTACCTTACCTACTGATAATTTTTCAAGATATTCTAAATTTAAACTTATAATACCATTACATGTTATTAGACAAAAAATCAGCATGCGTTACCAGGGGTTTTGAAAAGATATCAGATTTTGAAAATTTTGGCATTATTGAAAGAAAAATGTACAAATATTACAGAACATAAATTCCAGATTTTTTTTCATCAAAAATTGTTTTAGAAGAGGTGTACAAATCCATATATAGACAATAAAAATATTGCACACAGGTCCTTCATATAGTGGTACTCTTCAACTCCAGGGAAGAACCCAATAAAGTTCAAACTACGTTGAGTATGACCTTAAGGTATAAATAATATTGCATGTAGTAGGCAGTCTTCGACAAATCCTGGGAGTCCGATGCCCGGGACCTGGTAAAATTGGAAGCGGGCTCGTGAAAATTGCAAACTTAAAAGCCCAAAGGGCATGTACATTCTAAGGCACAAGCCTCAGTATACATAGTATAATCAAATTCAATAAGACCAAGAACATTAAATGTACTTGAAAGGCTTTGATTTTCCATCTAAAGTGAAGTACAAAATAAAATTTTACTGACAGTTTATTTTACTGCGATTTACAAGGAACTCTTCTGCAAAGGAGACACAAAAAGTGTACAGGTTAAAAACTCTTCTGCAAAGGAGACACAAAAAGTTACTAGTTTACAGGTTAAAAACAAATGGCGAGACAATAAATTGACAGAATGGATTTCAAATCATTTCCTTGGCATGAAAAGGCAAATAAGAATAATATAACTTGATAAAATTCTGGGCATGTAAATATTTGTTCGGGCTAGCGTAATTGGTGTTCACACCTGCCAGAGGGGCATGTGCTGAAAAAAAGATTTAACGAAGACTGGGTAGCACTCTAGGCTTGCTCACAGGGATTTAAGATTAAAGTGTAATGGCTGATGGTGATATGTAGTCACTAGTGTTATGAATTTGAGCTGTTTTATTATGCCCCCCTTTGAAGAAGGGAGGGCATATTGCTTTGCTGCTGTCTGTCGGTCAGTCTGTCTGTCGATCAACCATCAGTTTCTGTTCATTTTCTTCGCAGAGGTTGTGCATATATTGAAATGAAATTTGGTATACAGATTTATCCTAAGAATATTTAGGTCAACTTTTATTTTGGGTTCAATCAGGTCATTTTAGACAGAGTTATGCTCTTGAACTTAGAAAAATTCCAATTATTTGCAGTTTCCGTTTCTGCTAAGAGGTTGCTTATATTGAAATGAAATTTGGTATATAGATTTATCATGAGAATATCCAGGTCAAGTTCTGTTTTGGGTATGATCGAGCCATGTTGGATAGTTATGCCCCTTGGACTTAGAAAAATTCAAATCTTTTGGGGGAGGGGAGCATAAGTGTTTCACAAACATCTCTTGTTTGAATAAAGAATCAAGCAATATATCTCAGTTGCCCCAGTGTAAGAAAATATAGGCTTCAAACATAGTATACATAGTATACTACTGGTCCCCGTTATTGGTGCAGGTTGTAGTCACAAAAGGGATAAAAATTTTTATAGTGGAATATATTTCATAGAAAATTATCGGTGCATATTTCAGGATTATAAAGTAATTGTGATGTTTTGTGTTCACAGGTAATAAACATAATGGCAGCGGAAGTGAAATCAGGTGATTTTAGATTAAAGTTCTTGATGACCATGAAAACAATGCATGGCTGGAGTGTCTTACAGAAAGCTTTAGAGAAGAAAAGCAAGGCAGCGAGACAGAAGATCCTGACTGAGTCCTTCCACCAGAAGGAATTAGAAATGGCTGTGGAGATAGCATGCAAACTAGGAATGTTAGGAGCTGTGCAGTTTCTTGTGGAAAAATGTGACATTGATGTGGAAAAAATTAAGAATGCTTGTGTGTGGTCTGCAGCAAGTGGAAGGCACTCCAATATTGTGAAGTATTTCATTGAAAACCTTTCTGTTGATGTTAATCTGCCAAATGACAAAGGAATGGCAGCCATACATTTTGCTTGTGTTTCAGGAGATGAACATTTAGTGGAGTATCTAGTCAGCAAAGGAGCCAGACTAACAGACACTGATAACAAAAATGTCAATTGTCTTATGGCTGGGGCTTGGGCAGGTTCTGTGAAAATTTGTGAAATGGCCATAAAAGCAGGAGTGGATGTTAATGCCAAGAACAGCAGTGATGAACACATTCTTCACGGAACTATCCGACAGGGATTCAATGTGGACGAAAATCGTCTACATGTCATTGACTTCTTGGTGAAGGCAGGAGCAAATGTAAATAGTGTAAATGCTGCAAACATACCGGTGGTCATATATGCTGCTCTTACATTCAAATCTTGCACAAAAACTCTCGGGTATTTCCTGAAGCACCCACAAGTGAACATGCGTGATAAAATTGATGCTATGAAATATGGAGGAGCATTCTTGATTAGCACAGGAAATTCAAAAAGAGGATTCAAATTTTGGACTAGAGCTGTTGAGCTCCAGGAGAAATTGAAATTTGCAGAAGATGAGAACAACAACTCTGCACCGTGTCATAGTGATTTTTCATCCTATGAGCCAACATGCATTGAAGATATCCACAGAATGAAGGAAAATCCAGTTCGACCAATTTATTTCATGTTTGCACTTTTATCTAAGCTTCATGTGAAATATAGTTATAATTGCATACCATGCCTTGAAGGATTGACTGATGTGATTATTTCACTCGGGTGTTATAGTTTCTTTCTTGAGGTGTTTGCTTTCACCTTTCTGCACACCTTCTCAAACAATGAAAATGTGGATGCAATTCCTGGGTATGAAAGTGCATTCAGGACCATCTGTGTCATAATAGCTTGGAAGGAAAAGAAGGGAGATGAAATTTTCCCAGAAGTGTTGGAATTTTTTAAGAAAATGACTCGTGGTTTTGAAATGAAACAGCCTTGCTGCAAGAAGATAATGGAGGATGAAGCAGAGGAGATTTCACAAACAGAGAGAGATCTAAGGGCCATCATTGCTCATGCAATTGATCTTTTCTGTCCACCTGGTGAAGAAGATGAGGACAGTGATTCGGATAGTTGCTCCTATTATGGCGACTATAAAGATGGAAAACAGAGAAATATGTACATGAAACTGATGATGCAACTGAGTGCTCTGATTCTTGGCATTTTTCCCACCCATAGAGAGGACTTCCTGCCATGTCTTTATAAACTTCTGGAAACAAAGTTCAGGGATGAAAAACGAGTGACTTTCCTCCACATTGCAATAGAATGCATGGACACCTCTCAAGATTATCATGCGGATGAGGAAACTCATGCAGAACTTGTGAAGATTCTGATAGAAAATGGAGAAGATGTAAATGCCACAGATAACTACCTCTGCTCACCTGTACATGAGCTCGCTTCAGTTGTTCATTGTGAAAACCTAAGTCTTGTTCAGGAAATAGTGGATTTGATGGTACAGCATGGGGCTCACTTGGACATGAGAAATAAGCTTGGTTGGTCAGCGCTGAATGATTTGATTGATAGTGAAGTAAAAGTGAATCCTGCAGCAAATCAGACACTCCAGTGCCTGGCAGCTGAAGTTATCATGGAGGAGAATCTGGATTACCAAAGTACCACTCCAAAAGCCTTGTGGGATTTCATTCAGCAGCATGATCCAGAGGAACGTATGGACGAGTGTAAGATTCCATATGCCTCCACTCTCTACAGTCAAGAACGATTCTGGTGTAATGTAGAGGAGCATGTGTGTGATGTATAATAAAGCTGAACCTCAGGAAATGAAGGGATCCACCCCGAGACTGCACAGGATGTTTTCAAAGAATCAAAAAGGAAGGACTAAAGAGTTTTAATGAGAAGAAAAACTTGAGCTTTGCTCTGCAAAAACTTGTCATGATTGTTTTCTCTTTTATGATTGTAAGAGATGCTGTAAAAGCTAGTATCAAGGTTTCTGGTTGCTAAGTATGTTTCCATCTTTTAACTAATGGCTTGTTATGATCTTTAGCCAATTTTAAATGTTTTCAATTTTATTTCTTCTGTTGGTATTTTGAAAATCTGAACCATGTTTTACAGTTAAGAAGACGTTACATTTTGACAATTTTATAGCTGAGACAATAGCAAACTATGGAGATGTACTTTGAAATTGAAATAAGGAAATCACTCTTTTTTTTTTAGTCATACTAACAATAACATCTGTATTTCGATCTAGAAATTCTCATTAAATGGTTTGAACATAATTTTATAAGGGTTAAATATCCATTGCATCAAGGATAACAAGAATAGATATGGGTTTCCCCATATTCAAAGATATTCTACTTTTAGATTTAATATGTTTAATAGTGTTTAATGACTTTTATAAAATAATAAACTGTGCTGTCTAGTTATGGAACTGGTGTAAATTTCGTGAGTCCGTAGCATAACTGTTACACAGCCTCATAACAAGCAGTACACATACCTGTGTCCGCAAGACCAGTTAGCCTTGGTCCACCCATGTGCGATGGAGTTGTCAAGCGCATCTAGCGACCTCGGAGAAGCACGTTTTGTTTTGCCGAGAAGTTACAATGGCAGACAACTTTTTTTCTTAATTAGGTCATATGAATACGAATTCTAATTAATGAAAATTATACAGTCCCTGCTGAACTACTCAGTATATTTTGTTCTAACATTTGCATCTGCAGCAAAGTGTGTTGGCCTGGAAATTCTTACCTGAAAACCTTTTTTTTTAAATTACTGAAATATACTAATATATTTGTCACAGAACTTACTTATATAATTCAAATTCTATATAAAATAATATGCTGAACTTCAACATCAACCCGGTTTTCAGTTTAGAAATCGACGACCCGGTTCGGGTTTTGCAACACATTTTATAACTACGCTCCCTACACAATCTACACACGAGCAGAATCCGGCAAGAGATTGAAAATTCCGTCATTTAATTATACACACACAGAATTATTAATTTTTTTCTCCAAGAGGAAATTATATGATAATTAACGAACAATTAACATGAACTTAATACAATTGTTGATATAGTAATTCATCGGTGAAAAGATATCAATTGAAGAATGAACTAGATATTCTATCAAACATGTTTTTAAAAAGCTGAGGAGGGAGCAAGCGTAGGAATATTAATATTTTTCATTTGCATTGCGGGGGGGGGGGGGGGGGGGGGGGGGGGGGGGGGGGGGGGGGGGGGGAAGTGATCTTTGGAGAAAAAAATTGCGTTAATTTTGGTTTCTTTTACGTATGACATACAGAGCATTTATTCTTATCATGAACAATAATGTTGTATCTACTTGTCATGATGGAACTACTTTCCTCGGAACAAGTTGTGTGAGTCGCCGCTGACTACAGTAATATATCTTGAACTGATAGTAAGCACTGATCGAATATATTAAAAAAAAAAGTACCCAGTCCCGACATACAAAAGTTTTTTTAATGCCCTTCTTAAAATATGGGCAAGGCATTTTGTGTTTCTTTTGTCTGTCATCTCCTCTGTCCATCTGTTATGCCTTTCATTTGGCACAGTTTTAAAGAAACTGTCCAAGATATGTTTACATAAATCCTACTAATTATTGTAAGTAAGGGTATTTTTAGATACCTTTGCATATTTTTCTCTTTTATCTTGATTTTAAAGTACCTGTAATTACTGAAATTCTCAATGTTTTTTTTTTTCAGCTTCAAAACTATGTATTATAAATGTTTCAAAACTCACACTGAAACAATTGGTGTAAGCTATTCAGCTGTCCAAATTTTCTGACACTGACATTCCATATGACGTTAATATCATTATTGTTTTGCATTTAGCAGCTGAGATGAAACTGCTTATATTTTCAGACCTTGACCTTCTCTATGACTTTATCTTTACTTTCATGGTATTTTAATTAAACTTTTTGCGAATTAATATTGGTAAGAGCAATTTATCTAATAGCTCTAATTTTTGGACCATCCTTATGACTGCTCTTCTTGTGACCTTGATTTTTGAAGAATTTTGAATCAGTTCTATATTTAGATGCAGATTGGTGAGAGGAAATCCATGTCCTTGTTATCATACTGTGACCTATTCATTGACTTTGATTTTATTATATTTCATTTTACTGTTAACTAAGTTATGTATATGTTTATAAATATGTAATTATTCCTCGTTTCAACATGATGATATTTTGCTATTAACAAAGGAGGATGGTACATTTCTTTTTATATTGCAATCAGATGTTCCTTGGGAGGGGCAGTCATGTGCCATGGACATATTGAAGTGTTTAGCATTGTTATGTTCATATTTACCACTGTTGTGTTCAAACGTTTTACATTTGTAGTGCTTAATTTTTTTATGAATCATGTTGATCATACTAGAATAGCTGAACGTATTGGTCAACCCTTGTTAATATACTTAAGTGAATTTATTTTAAATGTACCAATTGAAATTTGGATGCCTTTCTTGAAAATGTTCTAACTTTTCCAATTTTTTTAAGAAAGGGGGAGGGGGGTATGTTACCCATACTTTTTAACTTTAGTTCTTTAGTTTTACCTTTATTTAAAAAACATAAATCTTGGCCTTAGGGTGCCATATATGAGCATCAGTTTTTCACAAACACACTTTTTTTCTATTTGACTATTTCTTTTATTGTTAACAAAACAAAAGATGGTTTTTGATTGTTGGAATAATAATAACTGTTTAATTTTGGTTAGAAAAATAGTGAAATCTGTCTAATAAGACATGCTCTAGGTGCCAAATTAATTGCTTTGTTTCAAATTTTACAGGGTATTAGAGTACTCAGTGTAAAGAACATGGGGAAAAGAATAAAATGGAAATGAAAGGAATGTCCAAATTCACAGTGAGGTGAACTGCACTGATGTCTGACAAGACAGATTTCACTGGAATTTATTTTCTAGTCAGATATGTTCACTGTACACAAGTGTGTATGTTTGATCAACAGTTGCACATTTATTACGATTCTGTCTTAGTCCAAATGTGCTTCTTCAGCTTTGCAATAAGGTTCTTTTCTTTTTCCAGAAAAAAATTTCATTAAACATGTATGTTGCTCAAGTCAATATCAACATCATGTTTGCATTAAATTCCACCAAATTTGGCACCCATGTGTCTGAGGAAAAGAAGTATTTCATGTTAGACATGGTATTTGATCAATTTAGTTAGTTTACATGTATATATGAATAGTACTTTTATACTAGTTTTGTGTTTAGTTGATCAACATGAACCTTGACTTTGTAATATATTTCTGTATAGTGGTCTAGAGAACATTTCTTGCAATTTTTTTGTTCCTGCAGTGAATATGGCCGGGGCATATAGTGTTTCTCATGTCCATCTTCTGTCCTTTTCTCCTTCTGTTTGTCCTGGCACACTCTGGACTTAGCTCAGAGAAACTACTTAGTATTCAAGATATTTTTATTTTAATACTTCATTTGTCAAAACATTGATGAGAGCAATTCAACTGCTTCAATTTTTTACCTTGACCTCACTTTTGATAAATTTAAATAAGAGAGGCATTCTATAAATCTTTATAAACCTATCCATCTTGATGAGAGCTTTTCAATGGCATCAGCATTTTTTTTTTACCTTGACCTTATTTTGACCTTGACTTCAGCTCCTTAATTTGATGTTTAGCTTGGTTTGAAAGAAACTACATGTATAATAAGATTTTTTTAACAACCTACATGCTGTTACATATTAAATTTAAAAGAGATTTTCAAGTGCATCACCAATTTTTATGCCCCGCCATGAATATGGCCAGGGCATATAGTGTTTGTCATGTCCCTCTTCTGTCTGTCCTTCCGTCACACTTTGCGTTTAGCTCTGTTCTAAGCTAAAAAGAAACTATTATCCGAGATATTTTCATCAAACTTTATATGCTGATATATATTGATGAGAGCTATGCAACTGCATCAACATTTTTTTACCTTGACCTCACTTTTCCTAAATTAGTGTTTAGCTCAGTTTTAAACATACCATTCAAGAAGGTGTTATCAAACTTCACATGTTGATACATACTGATGAAAGCAATTCAACTGCATCAACAATTTTGACCTTGACCTTGACCTCATTTTTCCTGAATCGGTGTCAAACTTCATATGCTGATACATACTGATGTAAGCAATTCAACTGGATCAACAATTTTGAACTTGACCTCTATTTGACCTTGACCACACATTTATCAAATTGTGTTTAAGTCAGTTTTAATTAAAGACATCATTTCTAGATATTTTTATCAAACTTCATTTGTTGATGCATATTGATGAGAGATGTGCAACTGCATCAATAGTTTTGACCTTGACCTTTGCTTTGACATTGACCTCACTTTTCCTAAATTAGTGTCAAACATCATAAGCTGATAGATATTGAGGTAGGTAGTTCAAGTGTATCTTTTTTACCTTGACCTTTCATTTGACCTTGACCTCACTTTTATCCATATGTGTTTAAGTCAGTTTTAAAGAAACCATTAATAATATATTTTCAACTTCACATGCTGATAGTTATTGATAAGAGCTTTTCAACTGAATCAACAGTTTTTGACCTTGGCATCTCCATTGACCTTGACCTTACTTTAATGAAATTAGTGTCAAACTTCATATGCCGATACATACTAATGTGAGCAATTCAACTGCATCACTATTCAAGATATTCTGATCAAATTTTATACACTAATACAAATTTTCATGTTGCTTTACTAATATACCCTCGGCGGGGCATTCATGTCCTATGGACATATTTCTAGTTAAATTTGTGCTTACTTAAATTTGAAAAAAAAAAAAAGCTTATAAATATTGATGAGAGCTATTTAATGGCATCAATGTTTTAACCTTAACATTTTGATTCTGATGTCAAATATCTGCTCAGCTTAATTTAAAAAAAAATATAAATATTCAATGAATTTTTAACAAACTTCATATGCTGATAAATTACTTTTTTTAACCTTGGTCTCTTCTCTCCTTTGACCTTGACTTGACTTTTCTTTAATTTTAGCTGGGTTTCAAAGACGTCATTGTAGATATTTTTACTGTAAACTTGGGATATAATTTGATAAGAATTTAATAAACTGAATTCAATTTGTTTCCTTATCCTTCCAAATGACCTTTGACTTAACAATTTTTATCAGTTTTAAAGAAAAGTATTCAAGATTGTTTTATCAAACTTTAAATAGTGATACTTATTTTCATACTGCATTTCGAATGAAACCTGGGTGGGGCATTTTTGTCCTATGGATGTATTTTTTGTTAATCCTCTGAACATGTTGGCAGAAGAATATCTGTTTTGCGTCAAGGTTCCAAGCTAATCTATTATCATTTAACATGAAAATTATGCATGTTTACAATGTATAACAAAAAATTGACAATCGATCTAGTTAC